CGCCTCGGGTTGCGACCAAATTCGGGCGGAGGGTGGAACGAATTAACCGGATTTACATTGAACCCTATGGGAAACTTTACCTTGACTTGAGACCAACTCGAGTTGCAACCAGAGTCACGGAACGGATTAAGTTCGTATCCCGAAGTACCACTGTATATATTTTTGGCACAAATATAACCAATATGAATGTGTCAAGAACAACTTATGAAAGTAAAGCGTAAGAATAAAAGGAACCCTTAACAAATGGCTCAATGTGGTGTGATGTCCCATCAGTTGTTTAATGTATTCAGGGGTAAATGTAAAAGGAATGCTTATGACATTAGAAATTTGTTGGGGGAAATGTGATTGTAGTTTCATATGCAGATGATGCTACATTGTTGGCTGAGAATCTGAATGATTTGCAGTGAAAGACTGTATAATTCAACACAATGTATAGATCTGAAAATTAATGTATTGCATCAAAATAGCAAACAGTATTTTTTTGCATGAAATTAATGTTGGAAGAAGCAACGGTGATTGTATGCTCCTGCCCCCTTTGTTATATGGAAGTGAGAATCGAATGTCAGGTGAAACATAAGTGTGCTGAATGCAGTAGGGAATACAATTGTATGCAACTGAATTGAATACAAAAATGAGTGAGCACTATGAAAGAAACAATTGATTCATTTGGTCACATACAGAGAATAAATGAAGTCCAAAACACAAAACAAATAAAGGAAGACTAAATTAGTCAAGAGGAAAGCAAGATCAATAATTTTGGAAAATGAGATGCTTAAAGGAGTAAAAGGATATATTTCTTTTCCTCTCCTTATCCTGTTCGTCTTACTATTTCTTTTTCTTCTTCAGTGCTTTGTGTAACATTACTTACGCCAAAAAGGAATAGTTTTATGGCTTTGCATGAAGAATGTATGATGTGATCTACATTCAGAATTAAGCCACTAATTGTTATCTATGCATATGTATCTCTTATATGCTAGTGCAAAATTGACTAGCGGAAAATAGTCAAATGGCCTTACTTTTATCTAGTTTTATTTAGTAATGATATTTTGGTATGATAAACAATTATCTCCCCAGTTCTAGAGGCAAACAGTATACTGAAAACAAGTGAAATTTTAAAACCACATTTATTTTAATACAAAATGTGTTGCACCATTACAGAAGTAACTTTAACTGTGTATCTTCACATGCATGGATAATATTCACATCTCCATTTAATTGTAACCTTCTACTGGTCTCCAATACTGTTGGAAAATCTTGGTAGAAAATTTCCCTTTTGTGCTTTTTCAATTAGTGCTCTATAGTTATTTCATTTTTGGACTGCTAATGAGGTGAATATTGCAAATTGTGCTTTACGTACACAGTATATGCATTAAAGTTGCAAATTTATTGTGATCTCAAATATTAGATGCAATCTGTCAAGCACTGATGCTGTGCAATTTCTGTACTTTTAAATAAGGCATTTATCAATCTTGCAACATAACGGAAGTAACACACAGTAATAAACCTTAGCACATGACTTGAAGAACTGTAACAAGAAGAGTGAAACTTTTATTGTCCCAAATTTGAATTTATATGCATTTTGACAGATGCTTTAAAATAACAAGCACCTCATTGGCTAGAGTACTTCTTACACAGTACAACCAAAACATTTTTATTTATAACACCGAGGAGCATATAGCATCTACACTTTTAAGTGTATGTACAAATTCAACAAAATATCTACATATAAAAGCTTACTTAAAATTAAACTTGATGCAAGTTATGAAAAACCAATTTATTGGCAAATGAAACTGAGCATTCCTTCAACCATAGGTTGTTATATAAAATTTTATATTTGGAGGTAAACCTTTTCAATGGTAATTTGTGTGTGTGTTTATGAGAGGGAGTTTATAATTAATAGATGAGGCCATTTTTTAAAAAAATTAAACTTAGCATTTATTAAATCAAATGATTTAACTCTTGTGTAGCATTCTATACCCTGTTTCATGCCAAGCACTCTGGTAAAAGCTATATTCTGGTTTTCTGACTGAGACAGAAATGTGCTGTTGTGAACATGCTGTATTAGTATATTATTCTGAGAATATCTGTATCTATATTAGCAAAATATACTAATGTAGCATTTTTGTATAAATCACATAAGGCCATGGAAATGTAAGTTGAATTCTATAGTTTATCTCCATAAAGAAAGAAATCTTAATGAGTTTTTATGTAGTTTAAATACAAACTATTCTAATCAAACCAACATATCTGGGTATTTGAAAATGATTGAATTACTTTGGCAATTAATCACACACTCTTCAGCCAGCTGAGTTGGACAAAATACATTGGGAACATTTCCGCAAGTACCCCTTCTGCATTTGTTTGGTGTTTGTTTCAATGTTACCATGTGCAGAAAAGTTCCTGGTGGAGGATGCCAATTATAGTACATAATGAAATGCACATTATTTAAAGGCACTGAATATATTTTGCCATGTATATTTCTGGAATAACTTTTTATGATTTGAAAATTTTATACATCCATAAGTGTACAACTCCAAAATGAATTAAAACAAAAGAAAACATAAAAGCCAATGTGTACTAGATTTCAAAAATAGAACACTGTGCTGCAGTAATACTTTGTAGATTAAAAAGCCTATAAAATAAGAGAAGCAAAAAGCAGGTATCAGAATCTCAGTTAGCATCAGGGAATGTAAGTGTCATACTTAAAGTCATTTATCAATCATATACTGTACATCCTGTTCCTAACTGTCTTGCAAAAAAGACATAATGACATTAAGCTAGACATTAAGTCACCAAGTTCACAACAATGTCCACAAAGACATTGAAGTTCTATATAATACTACTATAACACTCTGACAATGAAAATGGACTTCAGGAATTTAGTCAAAGACTGTTTAACAAATTACGAAAAATCATTTTCAGTGGCATAACTGGTTTTGTTTGAGATATATGCAACACTTTGCATGCATTATACTGCGGCTGCAGTATTAATTGATGTTGCTCATCTTAAAATTTTGTAAACAAATGCTGTGTAAAATGCTTCCAGTTTTGCATTCTGATTTAGACTTACTTTTGTTATAAATTCTAGCAGTTTCATCTATATGCACTATATGTACTTATCGAAAAAAACACTTCATTTGTTTCTTTTCATGTCTGTAATTTGGGGAAGATATATAAGTGTAATGCAGATGTTGATATGAGACAATTTCTTTAATTAGACAAATGAATTCATTGCATTAACTGGGGAAGGAGCTTCAGAGCTTTCATTTCCTTCTGCAGGTTCTTTCTCTTTTTTACCACTATATTGTCCAATAAAGGAGCCATCCTCATTGAATTGGCCATTGACTCCTTCTCCATAGTCAACTAAACTATCATCACTGTCTTCCTTTTTCACAGTCCTGTCTGAGGGTGACCTGCTTCCTTTTTTCAGAGGCTTGTGGTCATCAGCATCACTGGAAAAAAAAGAAGGAGCCATCTTTTAAAAACAAGTGCAGCAAATATGTTTTCTATAGCAAAGTACAAAATAAATGATGCATACCGATTTTGGCAACATTGTTTTAGTTATTACATGATCAAGACAAATTAATACAGTGCAATTGGCATGGATACATGGTACAATAATGGTATAAACACAAGAAGTTTCCAGTAGCAGAATGCCATTTTCCCCACCGTACATGGCTTTTCAGTGAAAAACAAAAATTCAGCTCCAAATTTTGAAACAAGAAAAAAAAAATGCAAGCATTAGATATGGCCTTTTGGTCTTCAAATACAAAACTTATGGTGTGCATTGAAATTAGTTTGTTAAATTTCTTAATTCTTGATTCCTAAATATGAATGAGGAATGAATTTGATTAAATGAAAAACACTGATTCTTTCATTAGGAAAATATAATAAATAATATGTTCTGTTTGAAGTAATTTGTTACGTTACACATACCGGGTTTGAAATATTTAACCTTACCTTTCAAGAGACCTATATATTCCATTAAAAGGGTACAGAAGAAACAAATGAAAATAGCCTAAGAAGAAGAGCAGAATCTACATCCTGAAAGTGATCAGCATTTAACTGAATCAGAACCAGAACTCAATCACACATTTAAATGTTTACTTCCACAGAATGAATAAATATTTTTTCAAACAGTTGTTGCCAGGAATGGAAAAAATGACAGGTGTCATCTAAAGCCACTGGAGAAAGCGCACAATTATATAAAAGTATATATTTTGCTGCCTGATGCATACCCCCTTCTGCTGAAATTCTAACACATGAGAATGAATACATGGTGTATGTAGCAGATCCCGATTCTAATAATTAACTATGCATAAATTGCTAATAATTTGCACATGCAGGCATGCAAAGTACCTGTTCTTACCTTATTCCAAAGCAAGTGATGCAAGGAAACTATGTTGTGCAGGAGCAGTGCTACCTTATTATATTATTTTAACAAGGATACAATTATACATTACCATAACAATGTAGGATTTATTTATGTAAGAATGGATCTCTTTCTATTTTTATATCCTTAGGAAATAGCTAGATATGTTGGTGAATTTATTATTTTCCAAATCATTATGTCACATTGGCGAGAAATATTTAATTTTTTTTTCTGTATATGCTACTACAGAGGAACAGTCTTCACTATTTGGTAACGAATTGATTTTAAGGGTAACAATTAAACCTGGTGAACATTTGGGTGGTTTTGCCAACATTTTATAACTTTCTTTTCTTGTCAATTTCTGTAAAAAATGTGCACTGTTGTCTATGGTAGGATTAGCTTTTTAATTTTTTAATGTAATTATCGTACTACCACATAGTGCCCTTTTGCTAATCTCCAACAAGGAGCAATTATTAGGTATTTCAATATTCTATACATTCTAAAGATATGAAATATATTTGGTAGAACTGCTTGGTTGAAACCTTTTGGATTAACACATAATACTTTTGTGCTAATCATGGACAACCCAAATAACTATGGATAGTATATAGTGATTTTCCTTTAATGAACATATACATAATATTACAACTTTGACCCAGCCCTATATATATATAGAGAGAGAGACAAATATAGTCCTCTGATATGATTCCTGTGCTTATTATATTTAATCTTAATTTTTCCTTCTATTTCTGGATTCTTGTAATCTCTTCCAGCAGCATCTGTAAGTGATATGAAATTGATGACAGGTGTGTGATATTATCACACAAAAGCTACAATTATGTACAATGACTGGCACAAAAATGTAAGTCATGGCGCTTGTGTGATGCTGTCTTCATGGACCTGTTGTTTGCTCCCACTTAGTCTTCCTTGAGGTTGGTCATTTCCTACTTTTGTACCTTCTCTTTTCTAACTTCCAAAAGCACTTAGACCTATATGTTTAGATAAAGGTTAATCTCAGCTTTAAGGCCATAGTTTCAAAGGCCACAGAGAAATCTGGAAAGAATTCTCCAACCAAGAAATTTTCCATCTCTTTCTTGGTTCAAATAATTCAAAAGGGTGACCAAACTTAACTCCCTGTCAATTCCAGGGAAAAGGATCCTGATACTCTGTTTCATCTAGAATCTCCAAAGCTTCAATCTTCCTCCCTTCTCCACAAGCTTGACTAAAGATGGAGTACTGGAAAACAGCTGATAAATATTTAAATCAGCCAAGTCCAAATGCTGGTCCGTAAGCAAGGGATTCATCACTCTCTGTTTTAAGATGGTGGGAAATTCTTCCAGCAAAATAGAAGTATTAATGATTTGAGTGATCATTGGCTGAACAAAACCCCTTGAAGCCCTTATAAGCTAAATCAGGGAAGAATCTTACAGGCAAGTAGTAGCATTAATAAAATGAAGAATCTTAGGCACTCTCTTAGGGGACAAATAATGAAACTGATTTAAATCAAAATTAGTAGAAGGTACAATGGACATGTTAAGTTTAGCATTACCCAATATGACATAAATCCTAGCATAACTCTGAGCACTTGTATGAACAAAGAACCCTGCAAACTGCTCACAGTGGAGTTCAGATGTTATTAGAGCACCAGTGGAACTACTCAAGCCCTGAAAAGCTCCCTTGGACAGTTCTATTCAGCTGCAATCACACAGGAAATCCTTTGCTTTTTCCCCTGTGACTGCTGCACCATAGGCTTTATGATGATGCTCCCCTGTCTTCAACTCTGTACATGTACCATAGATAAGGAACATCTGTCTTCATGTTCCAATGCCAGCACGGATCATTAGATAGCATTAGACAGTCCAACAATAAAGGGAAATCATGAAAGCCATAAGTTCCCCAAGATCAAAAGTCTTGGGATTTCCAACATCACTTCTACAACCATCTGTGTTAGCTCAGTCAGGCATTCTGCTAGATAGTAGAACAGTCTGTATATTAATAAAATCCCTCTTTTCACCATCTATTCAGAATGAGGCACATATGTAAGATATGACATTTGTGTAATGCTGTCATAAACCTGTTAACATTTGTTCCCACACCTTCCTCGGATCTCCATGGGTTCAGATATTATCTTCTAGAATTTTTCTGGAGCTCAGAATTAATATTGTTGTATAGGGATACAGAAATGTGGTTTTGCAATAAATCATCGTATCTATTCATACAGTGGTACAAAATGTTATAATTAATTCTTTTGTGAAGTAGTGGAAAATATTTAGAATTTATTACAAAACTGAAATGTCTTGAAAAAATGAATGTAAAGAGTACAAATTGTTTCAATTTGGCATATGCTTCACTTAAAAATGCTTTGAAATAATGTGTAGCATTATTAATTCAGGTGGTATTTGTTTTATGTGTTATTAGAGAGTATAGGATTTTTTATTTCAAAGAAATTTGTTGTTTTATCAAATTTGCTTGTATTCTTGTTTCTTTTAGGCTTGTTTGACAAGTTACCCATATTTATAATCTAAATAATTAAAAAAAATACTTACATGTTTGGTTGCATTGTTGCTGTGATTTTTCTATAAGCTAGTAATGATGCAGATTCTAACATCTGTATAATTAAAAAACACACAGAAAAACAAAAGTGCAGATTTACCCACACGTGCATCTGCACTAGGTGTGGACAGTGGTGTGAATTTACAGTTACAGCACATGCAAAAATCACTTAAAAAAGGGTTTCCTTCTTTTTGCACACTATATAAAAAAACTAAATTAATATTGCCAGAGGTCTACAGTAAATGTTTAGGAGGGTTGCCCAGATAAACCTCTCTCCACCAAAAAGGGATACATTTAAGTGATGTGATTGTCAAGGTTTTTTAAGGTTTGATAGATCGAGTATTCCTGGACTCTGAGAAACAGGAACTGAGAAGGAAATGGGGCAAAACAGCAGTTCAGTTAAAAAAAGCTAAACACTAGATTCTGTAATTCCAAATGAATGAAGAAAGAATGCCGTCATCTTAAAGGGAGATACCAGGACTAAAGAAGAATGTACATACCACAAGTTCAGAAAAAAAAATCTGGGTTCTTATGGCTATGTGAGTGGGAGGCACTCAAGTAACTGATCTCCCATTACTACAGTATCGCAAGGTCCAATTTTCTTGCTTGTCTGAAGAGGGTTGGAAGTTGGAGGGGGGGGAGAGAACATTGTGCTAAATGTGTTCACATCTATATTGGATTAGTGCTTCACTAAAAAATGCTCTTGCATTCCTTTCTATGGAATTGTTGCAAGTGAACGTTTTCCCACACTTTCAAGAGAAGTTACATTGTCTTCATAATTAGTAAAAATAGGGCAGTGAAATACCCTGATTCCCTTGCAACTGTCCTTCAAAGGTAAGGCAATAAAAGAGATTTATGTAAATTTTAACTGGACTCTTTGTCTTTGGTTTTAATACTTGGTGCCACAACATTTTAATATGGGGTTTTCCCATTGTCTCATCATTAGAAATCTTCATTATCACCATTTTTGTTCTGTAGCATCAGGTTAATATAAAAGCAGGATTCCACGCAGGAGGAACCCTTCTTCTTGTATTGTGTTGAGAATCACCAGATTCCTGATGATGCAGAAATGAGAGGTACAGCTTCAGGTTCTAGAAGATCAAGTCCACATTAACTTGAAAGCAAGTCCCAATAAATTTGGAACGGTACTCTGACTATAAACAGGAGTTGTATAGTTAGTATAGTGCCTTAGATGTACTTGGAATGAATCCACTGAGCTAAATAGAACTTACTCATGATCTACTTATACCTACTTGACACTGAATTGACTATTTAAATTTATTAATTCATTTTATAATTGATTTGTGATATAATTCTGAAATACTATGTAGTTTTAGAAAGGCACAGGCAAAAACCCAAAACTAAAACCCATAACCAAATAAAAAATACCATAAAAGTGCCATACATAACAAGTACATCCATTCTGCTCAAGTAATTTTTTTTCTACAAAATATTCCAAAGCAAAGTTTAAATTAGTGCATTCAAAGTGTCACCTTGATCATTTCAGAAGGACACTTATACTCTCAT